GTCGTATATACTGTATGCGACGTAAATTTACGTCGTATATACTGTATGCGACGTAAATTTTCTGTTTTTTTTTTTTAAATTGAAAAGGTTTTTACGTCTGTTTATTGTATATGCCACGCAAAATTACGTCGTATCTTCATAACTGACGTAAATCTACGTCGGGTAAAAGGGTCCGACGTAAATTTACGTCTCCCGCTTTTACGTCGGACTTAAATACGACGTAAAAAGCCCTAAATATCTGACGTAAAAGCCCCTTTTTGCACTAGTGTCCACAATGGTTGATTTTCAAGCGCAAGTACGTGATGTTATCCATCATGATTGCAGGTCCAAGACAGCCGGGTAATGACATAGATGTTTATCTAAGTCCGTTAATAGATGACTTAAGGCTATTGTGGGAGGAAGGAGTGGATGTGTTTGATGCATATCAACAGCAGAGCTTCAAGTTACATGCAATGTTATTTTGTACTATCAATGACTTCCCAGCATATGGAAACTTGAGTGGGTATAGTGTCAAGGGTCATCATGCTTGTCCTATTTGTGAGGAAGATACAAGTTTTCTACAATTGAAGCATGGAAAAAAGACTGTGTATAATAGGCACAGAAAATTTCTTCCACATAACCACCCATATCGAAGATTGAAGAAAGCTTTTAATGGTCAGCAGGAAGATAAAATTGCCAAACAACCTTTAACTGGTGAACAAGTTTATGAACGGGTTAGAAACATTAATGTTGTCTTTGGAAAGACTAAAAAACAGTCGTCTGATAAAAGGTTGTGGAAAAAGAGATCAATTTTCTTTAACCTTCCATATTGGAGTCATCTAGATGTGAGACATTGCATTGATTTTATGCATGTGGAGAAGAACGTATTTGAAGTCAAGGAAGAAAGTTTACTTGGGTGCTTACCACCATCAGTAAGTATTTAAGCGTATGAAATTATTCGTATTAAATTTTATAGTGTATTGTATTATCCTAACTTTTTGTAATGTAAGCAGAAATCATTGGCAGTTGTTGGTTGTTTGCCCAAAGTAGAATGTTGTGGCTTGGTTCTGCTCACTGGGCAAGAAACCTGATGCAGATCTTAAAAACATTGTAAACAGGTACACATTCTTATAATAATTTAAACAATTATTAATTGTTTTGTTACTTAATTGTTTCATTATATCTTGTATTGCACGAGTGCATTTAAGGTTTGCAATACAATTGATGGAGTACACACAAGCAAAAGCACGACTCCAGATTGGATTTTTGTTAATGTAAGTCCTTTTATATTTATGTATTATATCATTCATTTTATATGTCAAATTAATATATTATATTTTGTAGTGTAATAGGCAACCAGGATCTTATGAGTGCGGATATTATGTTATGCACTCGGATGTGGCTGATTGTTGTTAGCAAGATTGAGGATACATGGAATCGAGGTTTGCTTAAATTTAGTATTCAATAAAAGACCCAGTATTGTGTCATTGGATACTCTGTTAAATTATCTTTTTTCTTGTAACAGGTATTTTCAGACAGGGAAGCATTGCCCATAGAGACCATTGACGATATTAGAAACACATGGGCCGATAAGTTTGTTAAAGTTAGAAGTAGGCAAGTTTAGTTATTAATTTAGTACTTAGTTTAGTAGTTAGTTTAGTAGTTAGTTTAGTTGTTAGTTTAGTAGTTAGTTTAGTTACTTTACTAGTTAGTTTACTAGTTAGTTTATTAGTTAGATTAGTAGTTAGTGTATTTGGTAGATAAGTAGTTGGATACACAATAATTTTGGATACAATTTTATTTTTGGATGCACATTCAATTGTTTATATCTTGTACATTGTCTGCCTGGGTTGTATTCAAATTTGCAGGTATGTATATATACAAATATTGGGTACCCTGTATAAACAAATCGTCCATTTAAAAAAAAAATAGACTTTCTACGTCGGTTCATACCATAACCGACGTAGTAAACCCGTACTCGCTTGAGCGACGAGTGTACTCGCTTGAGCGACGACAGCTTCAAACAAAGGGGACTCTCGGGTTCCATCTCGCTTGAGCGAATAGTGGACTCGCTTAAGCGACGAAAGCTTCAAACAATGGGGACTCTCGGGTTCCATCTCGCTTGAGCGACGAGTGTACTCGCTTAAGCGACGAAAGCTTCAAACAAAGGGGTCTCTCGGTTCAATTTCGCTTGAGCGACGAGTATATACTTTCAACGTCGGGTATGAATAACCGACGTTGAAAGCCAAAACTTTCAACGTCGGGTATAGAGAATCGACGTTGAAAGTGTATACTTTCAACGTCGCCTGATACAACGTCGGTTGTATAACAGACGTTGAAAGCCTTATATAACCGACGTTGAAAGGCATATCTGTAGCAATGTTTGTTCGAGAAGTAGTGGAAGAAGGAAGTGTGGATATGCAAAAGATTCACACGAATGAGAACCTAGAAGATGTTATGACAAAGCCGATTAATGTTGACAAGTTTGAATGGAGTCGATCCTACTATGCGGAAAAATAAGCAACATGGATGACAAAAATAAAACAAACATAGTATGAAATTTGATTAATTTAATGAAAATCTTCAATTGGGAGATTGTGAGAAGAAAAGTCTCACATCAGACAAAAATTACTTTGATGCATATTTTTCTTACTATAAAATGAGCACATTATTTACCTTGTAAAACATACCAAAATCACTTCATTTTTTTCTCTTACTGCTTTAGTGCTTGAGAGATAAATTAAGAGAGAGAAATAGTTTCTCCTTTAAGGTTCTCTTAGAGTTGTTTTTCCTTTATTTTCAAGAGAAGGTATTATATCCTCCTTGGAGGTAGAGAAAGAAGGCTTGTAATTTCTTTCATTAGTGGAATTTTCCCTTTGCCTATTGTCAGTATTTTTCTCATCTTTTTATTTTAATTGTGTATACTTATGTTTTTGTCTGATACTTAGCACACATCACGCTCTCATACAGGCTTATACTCATGTTACACAGACACTAGATGACTTCTGGAATACTAGATATTGAAATAAACATCAGAGATTTGCACTTGTCACGCCATAATTCTCTCAAGTGTATAACAGAAGGGTGCTTAATTTGGTATATACACTCACGTGTGGCCAGGGTAAATTCCTAAATGACTTATCAAGACAATTTTTTTTCATAGCGCAGACAAAGTCATTAGAAACTTCTTTCAACTCTCACCACCTGATCATTTCATCTATGTGATTCCAATAATAAGTAAAGTTAAAATATCTCCTCAAGTCTCAAATCAATATTTATACATAAAATATTATACACATAAGAATACCCTTTAGTAATTCTCATATCACAACACAACATTTTTCAAGGCATTCAACACACCTTATTTCATGTTTATAACATATATTTTAATATCTTAAGTCACATACATATCATTTCTCACATTATAATAAAATTATTTTTTTTAATTTAACATCTACCTATTCTTTTGACAATCACGTTTTCTATAGACATCATTTTTAACTCATTTTTATTTTATTGAATTCCTTATTTGTGGGACTTCGATTTACATATATGAGACATTAAATTTAGAATTCATAACTATTTTTTATAATTTTTTAAAAATTGTTGAGCAAATCTATAAGTACTGAGCGAATTTGAAAACACTTTTAACACTTTCTTAAATTGGCTTAATGAAATTAAATCCCCTAGACGAAATAGTGTACTCAATACCATGTTTCTAATATTCTAAATCAAATTAATTCTAAATCATATTATAAATCAATTCACTAAATTTAATCTAAGAAAAATACATTTATATAAAAGACCATCTTTCTCAATCTTATATAAATCACTTATACATTCATATTCAATATAATCATCACAAATCAACACATACATAATCACACAATATAAATTTCTGAAACTTAAACAACCAAGTCACTCTCACAATCCAAATCTTCTTACCTAAAATATTATAAAAATTGATGAATAATTAAATTCTCTTACCTTCTCTCCAAGCTAAAGAACCTTAAAAATTCCTAAATTTTCAAAATAAATTTTGCTGACAAAAAACTCAAATTAACAAATTGAACATATTAGAGTACTTTTAACCTAGTTAAGATTCATCTTTTCAAGACAAAGTCTACATACAAGCCCTTAAAAATCTACATGTAGACTTAAACCTAAAATATGTAAAAATGGTCTAAAATTAGGAAAAGGAAAACTTATTCTATTCAAAATTTGTATGAAATAGAAATAATCTTTTTTTTAGAAACATTAAGATATGTTTGTATATAGAAAAAGACAAGAGATAGAATAAAAAATTAAAAAAAAAAAGACAAAAAATGTTATAAAAAAATAATAATTATATGAAAATAAAGTTTAAATATTTAAAATTTTCAAATGATAAAACTTTAAATTTATTTTTATTATATTATTTCTATTTTTAATTCATTTAAATTAAATATTCGTACCGTATTATTCAAATTTAATGCAATATAAAAATAAGGTAATTGGAGATCATTGAAAGGATTTTTTTTGTTTTTTCACAACTTCAAAATCTGTCATCATTCGACATATGTTGTCAAATCCACAAAACAGTGTCACATGCAACAATCATTCTAAGCCGAACATATATATCACAACACCACAAAATAAAATAAATAAATAAATATTGAAATATTTGTAACTTAATTTTTTACTTTTGATTGCTTATAAATAAAATAGTTAAATATTAATAAATAAATTGTTATTAATGAAATATGTAGATATGGATTTGTGTGTGAAATCTATTCAAGAAAGAGCAAATCCCGGAATGAAGATATATATTAAAAAATATATGTTATTAAATTAAAAAAATATATATTAAAAAATGTGTATGAGTGAAATGCACTATTATTATTTATGGAAATGACTAACAATTTGAGTTGAGAATAAAAATAGCAAATGTTAAGTTAAAAGACACTCACTTGAAAAAAAGACAGTGAGAGAAGAGGTCTTCAGTGTTGTCCACTCACTCATCCACTCTCAGAGGCACCACCATGGAAACGCTGTACCCGAACCCGATTACGCCGTCGCAAACCCGAATCGGATGGGTCGGAATCGGCGTAATGGGCTTCGCCATGGCCTCTCGCATCCTCTCTGCGGGCTACACCCTCACCTTCTACGCCCGTAACCCCTCCCACCCCAACGCCATAGCTCTCAGATCCCAAGGCGCTACCCAAGCCCAATCCCTGGCCCAACTGGCCCAACTCTCCGATGTCCTCTTCACCATGGTGGGCCACCCCTCCGACGTCCGCGCCCTCCTCGACTCTCTCCTCCCCGCCCTCCGTCCCAATTCCGTCACCGTCGACAACACCAGCTCCCACCCCAACCTCGCCCGCACAATCTTCACCCAGGCCCGCGCCCTCGGCGCCTGGGCTGTCGATGCCCCAGTCTCCGGCGGCGACGTCGGCGCGCGCGACGGCACCCTGGCGATCTTCGCGGCGGGGGAGAGAAAGGTGGTGGAGTGGCTCCACCCGCTCTTCTCGATCCTCGGGAGGGAAACCTACATGGGCCCCGCGGGGTGCGGGCAGAGCTGCAAGATCGCGAACCAGATAACTATCAGCGCGAATTTGGTTGGGGTGAGCGAAGGTTTGATTTTCGCGAAGCGCGCGGGTTTGGACTTGAAGGGGTTTTTGGAGGGTATTAGAGAGGGTGCAGCGGGTTCTAAAGCGTTGGAGATATTTGGGCAGAGGATGATTGATGGGGATTTTCGACCAGGGGGGTTTACGGAGTACCTGGTTAAGGATTTGGGAATGGGAGTGGATGTTGTTGAAGGAGCGAGTGATGATGAAGTTGTTGTGTTGCCCGGGGCTTCCTTGTGGAAACAATTGTTTTCTAGCATGGTGGCCAATGGACAAGGGAAGCTTGGCTCGCAAGGGATTATCTCTGTCATTGAGAGGATCAATGGGATGGATGAACGAAACTGAATGAAATTCTCTGTTCTATGTAATGAAATAAAATGTTGATGATGTAACTTTGAGATTAGATGTGTGTTGTGTTGTTTTGTGTTTAGTTTAACTATTGCTGTCTACCACTCTGGTTTGCTTGTTTAGTTATGATGATTTTATTTGTATGAGAAGCAACCTACATATTAATGAATTGAAGTTTGGAAGATTGCTCTCAATTGCAATTAAAACAAGCCTATTCTTTTGGTCTTGCAGGTTTCATCTACCTCATGGAACAGAGATTAATTTGGTTTACTGTAATGTAGTGTAATTGTCACTGATCTAAAGAGTTTTCTTTCAGGTTCTTTGATTGTTCTAGAGAATATTTGAGTGGTGTGGAGATAAGGATAATCAAAAGGGTACATCTGATTATATCTTCATGGGCTGCAACGGATAGATTTCCTAGTGTTCCAAAAGGTAGGAATATGGTGGCACTATCTTTGGGAGCTTGTCAAACATTGTGACTTGAAACTCTGTTGGAAAAGATTAATTTGGAAATGAAGTACTGTAATACTGAAGACCAGAACCATTGAATTGAAGGCAATGGAATCTGAATTAAGGGTTGTGTGTGATGGAGAGTGATTCGTTTTTTCTGTTAGTGGTTTTGGTGTTTTAAAGTACTATTAGTTAACACTGATTATGAGTGGAGTCATTCCACTAGCTGGTCAATGTGCGACCTATCAAATTGTGTGATGACTTAAGTGTGTGTGTGATTACTTTCAATGCTGGCTTTAAAACACCACAGCAATGCTGATTCTACAGCTTTTGCTTCCCTCGAAAATGAAACAAATTATATGAAGTTTTTAAGACTAATTTCTCCATCATAAGGTATCAAATTCATGTGTGATTTCTGGTAAAATAATGACTAGATTTGAGGTGAAGAAGGCATTGATAGAACTTATAATTTCTTAATACTATCAAAATGATACTGAAATTACTCATTGTGGAGATAGATAATTAGGGTTTTTGAAAACCTTTAAAAACTGCTCTTGTTTATGCAGCAAGCATGGAGATTTTGCTGGGATCTTGGCTAAAGGAAGGTTGTTTACGTTTGATTCATTGCTGCCAAAAATTTCTAGTTCAGCAACCTCTCAATCCTTGCCATAAGCATGCCCTTCTAATCACTTCAATCAAAAGATCAGTGTAGCTGGAGGAATTTTTCATGTTTGATCTAGTTGACTCTATGTTCATGTTCCTGCTTCTTCTTCTTTTTTTCTTTTGTTTATCACCACTACCAAAAAAATTTGAAGATAAAAACAAAGATATTTCAAACTCTCATGATTAATACACACAATGAACTAAAATTCATTAATACGTTTTTCAGTGACATAGATAGTTATAGATGTTCATACCCTAAAATGAAGTAAATTTCTTTGAACATGAACTTAACAAATGACTTATACAAGTTTTTGATGAAAAAAATACTATTAACAATTAAAAAGGAAAATATTCTAAGATATATAGATAATAAGTTAAATATGTTTTTATTTACTTTTAGCTTAATTTCAAATCTCTCTTTTTTTAAACCGTTATTTTTAGTCTTTATTGCTAAAATTAATAAAATATATTAATTACTATAATCAGATAACAAAGAATATTTTAAATTAAGAAAAGTATATTTTTAAATTGAGTAATAATATTATTTTTACTTTTTCATTCAACAATTGATTTTAATATTTCTTTTTTATTAAAAATAATTATAAATTACTTAGATTTTATTATCTATTTTCTCCATATTAATTTTTGATATTATAATATTGAAACATTGTAAAACAATTTTTTTAATCTACTATAGCATGGATTTATCTCTAAAGATAAAATGAATGAAACATGTTTTAATTATTAAAATTAATAATTATATTATATTATTAAAATTATATGAAATATAAAACAATAATCGTTACTATTTTCTTCTCTATCCTTATACAATTGATAGCTAACATAAAATAATTAGTGTAAATATGATTCAACTCCATACAAATATTGTTCTTATTTATTTTAGTTTTTATAAAAAAAAATTTCTTTTAAATCATTTACAATTTTATTAGTGTCTTTTAATATTTATCTTTAAATATAAATAAGTTAGTACCAAAATATAAATAACAATGAAACAATCAGAATAAATTTCAATTGTATTTTTCAATTAATTTATATATTTAATATTTTAAAAATCAGATAATTGCTAATAATTTTTTTAATTTTAAATATATTATGAAAAAAATATTTAGAATAATTATGAAATATTATTTAAAGAAAAGTATTACATATAATTTTTCATTTGATAGTTATATATTTGTCATTTTATTTCTAAAGAATGATTAATGACAAAATATATTAATATATTACAAATAAATTACTCTATAATAGTTTTAAATTGTGTAAAGATTTTGTTTTTATTCTTCTATATTACATATAATTTAATATATTATAATTATTAATACTAAAATGTAAAACATATTTCATTATTTCTGTCTTTGGAAATAAAATATCTGTTCATGGCTTTAGAAAATAAATTATTTCATTAATCCTGATTAGCTTAGTAATGTTTAAAAAAATTACAACAATTTTCTATAATATAAAATAAAATAAAATAAAAATGGGATATAGCATCCAAAACATCTGTGAAATTATCCTTGTAACTCAGTAAAAAAAAACTATAAAGAAAAGTCATCGACCACATATCTTTATTAGATGGGACCGAATAATTTGTGATTATTGCATTACTTTTCTAATGCATGTTTCACCAGCCAAGAAATTAATATATAAATAAAAAATCGATAATAAATAAATAAAAATTATAAAATTAAAATTAAACCATAAATAGTATTAATAATTATTTTTATTATTATTTAAGATATAAATTATTATTATCTTAATTAGATATAAAATTATATCAAAATAAATTAAAATATTAAATATTATAATTATTTATATATAATGTTTTTTTAATTTTTTATTAAATAATTAATTATTATAAAAATATTAATTTAATTTAATATAAAATTTTCAAAATAAAAATCAAATTGGTTTAGCTTTTTAATATAAAATTAAACTAAATTGTACGCAAACACCTTTAATCAATATAACGAGAATATAAATACATTAACTTTATTACTACTATTTAATATTTTATTCTAAAATAAATTTAAAATAAATATATTTTTATTAAATGATTATACTTATTTTTTTAAATTTTATTTTTAAATAATAAAATTCGTTCGTGATAGAAAAAAAAAAAAAAAGTGTTAGCAAGTGGTAGTGGGGCTAATACTTACACGAAAGAAAGGAAAAAAAAAAAAAAGGTTAAGCTATAATTGAAGAGAACATAGAGAAAAATGGTAGATATTGTTTACGTATCAGATTAAAAGTCGATTAACAAAAAGCATAATTTTCAAATGATTATCATACAAATATTTTTTTTATAATGACAGTTTATGATAAATGATGTAGGGAATGATGGTGTGGCTGGGATGGTGTAACAAATACAAATGTGAGAGACGTGGATGAGAAAAAGTCTGTTAAGAATAAGAGACGCGTGCAGGGTGATATGAAAAGTAATAAAGGGGAAAAAAGCACTAGGCACCGCAAATGGAATGTGTTTTTAAAGGATTTTGTGTATTGTATTACTCTTCTTTGTTAATTCTTCACTTTTTCTGAATTAATTCCCTCTTTCTGTCCATTTTTCCGACCTCAGATTTTCCCTATGATTGTAGGTGAAATTATTTTGTTGCACGAGGAAGTTATCACGTCAATTGTTAATTGCAATTCTCCTTTGTTTACAAATGACTTTTCATAAATAAAAAGTCCGTGTAATTGATTATGTTATTAGTTGTTATTGTCACTATTTCATTGATCCTGTTACATTCAATTCTGCTAGGTCAATTTAATTTATCTGTTTCATTGGTGCTTTCATTCTCATCAATGGCTGACAACAATGATCATACACGCCTTCAAACAATGCAAACTCAGATTACTACTCTGACCAATTGGGTGGAAGAGCAGCGCAAGTATCAACTGAAAAATAATGATCGTTTTGAGAATATTCATATAACAATGGAGCTATTAATAAGTAATCAAGGTCGCGCCGTTGGTGGTCCGAACTCAGAAGGAGGAGGTACTCCAGGTTCTTCTGTCACTTCCGTTTCTTCCACTGTGCGTGACATGTCTTTGGGATTTCCCCATTTTGATGGTCACACTCCAATGTTAGAGTGGATTTTTAAAGCAGAGAAGTTCTTCAATTATCATCATACTCCGGATGCCAATAGAGTAGAGATTGCTGCCATTCATTTCGAGAAGGAGGTCATTCCCTGGTTTCAAATGCTTCAACATGTGGATTCCGTGAATTCATGGTCAGATTTAACCAATGCCTTTCCAGGGAAGCCATTTTAAATTGTTTCGTTAGTGGGTTGGAGTCAGATATTCGCAGAGATATTGTGGCTCAGAGTGGAACCTTCTCCTTGGAATTTGCCATTCACAGAACTGCCAGATGATATAGAACCTGAGTTGGTTCTTTTATTACACACGTATCAATCTGTGTTTGAGACACCTTCATCTCTGCCACCACACAGGTTCCATGATCATGCTATCCCTCTGCTAGAAGGATCTCAACTAGTGAAAGTGAAGCCATACAGATATTTGCACAGTCAGAAGGATGAAATTGAAAGATTATTTCAAGGTATGCTGGAAGAGGGAATCATACAACCAAGTAAGAGCCCTTTTTCATCTCCAATAATTTTGGTCAAGAAAAAAGATAGATCATGGAGAGTATGTACTGACTATAGATCTCTAAATGCTATCACGGTAAAGTATGTACTGACTATAGATCTCTAAATGCTATCACGGTAAAGGATACTTTTCCAATTCCAACAGTCGAGGAATTAATTGATGAGTTATTTGGTGCTGAATATTTTTCTAAGCTAGACTTGAGATCTGGATATCACCAGATTTTGTTGAAATTTGAAAATAGGTACAAAACTGCTTTTCGAACACATCATGGACATTATGAATGGCTGCCCCGGTAACATTTCAGAGTCTTATGAATGAGGTTTTAAAAGGAGTTTTAAGGAAATTTGTATTGGTCTTTTTTTATGATATCTTGGTGTATAGCCCCACATGGCAAGATCACTTACACCATTTGGAATTTGTATTGAAGACTTTACAACACCAGAAACTATATGCTCGACTATCCAAGTGTTCGTTCGGAGTTAAAAAAATTGATTACTTGGGACATGTTTTATCTGGCACAGGTGTTGCTATGGAGATGTCAAAATTAGAGGCCATTAACAGTTGGCTACAGCCTAATAACATTAAACAACTCAGAGGCTTCCTCGGCCTCACTGGTTATTATAGAAGGTTCATACGGAATTATGCTTCTATAGCTGGTCCACTCACTGATTTGTTGAAGAAAAATTTGTTCCAATGGTCTGATCTAGCTTCTAACGCTTTTTTGCCGCTCAAGCAAGCCATGACTTCAACACCAGTATTAGTTGTTCCTAATTTCAAAGAACCATTTATTTTAGAGACTGATGCTTCTGATTCTGGTATTGGGGCAGTTTTGGGTCAAGCACAACATCCAGTGGCTTATTTCTCTAAGAAATTATCTCCTAAAATGCAGAAACAAAGTACCTATACAAGGGAATTTTATGCCATTACACAAGCCTTAGCTAAGTTCAGACATTATTTACTTGGCCACAAATTTATAATACGGACTGATCAGAAGAGTCTGAAAGAGCTATTAGAACAGACGTTACAAACTCCAGAGCAGCAACAATGGTTGCCTAAATTCCTTGGGTATGATTTCACTATTCAGTATAAGCCTGGGAGAGAAAATGTTCCTGCTGATGCCTTGTCCAGGAGCTTGTTTATAGCTTGGTCAGAACCTACCAACAATTGGTTGATCAGAGTGGCAGAAGAAACAAAGAAGGATGACATACTCAGTGAGCTAATAAATCAATACGTTCAAGGATTGAGACTTTATCCTAAGTATGACATTCATGAGGGTTTGATATTCAGAAAAGGGAAACTCATGATTCCAGCGGTGTCTTCTTTACGTCAACAGATAATCCAAGAATTCCATGACACTAAGATAGGGGGTCATGCTGGAGGGACTAAAACAGTAGCCAGAATCTGCACTCAATTTTACTGGCCTAAAATGCAGGAGGAGATAAAAAATTACATAAAAAATTGTAGCATTTGTAAACAAGACAAGGTGAATCAAGCTTTACCCGCTGGTTTACTCCAACCACTACCTATTCCTCAACAGATTTGGGAAGACATTGCTATGGATTTCATCACCAATTTACCTTCTTCTCAGGGCTATACTACAATTATGGTAGTGGTAGACAGACTCTCAAAATTTGGCCATTTTATTGCTTTGAAAGCTGACTTTAACAACAAAACAATAGCTCATGCCTTCATCAACAATGTGGCAAAGATACATGGCTTTCCTAAATCCATTGTATCTGACAGAGACCAGGTTTTTATTAGCTCATTCTGGCAATAATTGTTCAAAGCACAAGGAACAACATTAGTCATGAGCTCTTCTTGTCACCCTCAGAGTGATGGACAAACCGAGGTCCTTGATAAGACTCTTGAGATGTATTTAAGATGTTTTGTTTATGACAATCCGAAACTGTGGTACTCAATACTGGTATAATTATTCATTTCATCATAGTATTGCAATGACTCCTTTCAAAGCTGTGTTTGGTCGAGAAGCACCTTCGGTAATTCCGTATCAGGTGCAGTTCAGAGATCCAACCTCCTTGCAAGAAACCTTGACCAACAGAGATAATTGTTATAGCAACTCAAGGCCAATCTACTTAGAACCCAGAATTATATGAAAGTACAAGCTGATAAGAAGAGGAGAGATGTTCAGTTGGTTGTAGGTGATTTAGCATTGGTGAAGTTATAACCTTATAGGCAACATCTGTGGTACTTAGAAAGAATCAGAACCTGGGTATGCAATTTTTTGGCCCCTTCAAGGTTGTGAAACGTATTGGTAATGTTGGTTACAAATTGGAATTATTGGAAGCTGCTCGTATACATCCTGTTTTTCAAATTTCGTTGCTTAAGAAATTTGAAGGAAATCAGCAACAACAGTTTCTACCTTTACCACTTACAACAAATGAGTTTGGGCCAATTATTCAGCCTCTCCAAATTCTAGATGCAAGAATGATTATGAGGAATGGTGTGGAGGTGCAACAGGTATTAATTCAATGGCAATTATTAGAACCTCATGAAGCTACATGGGAGGATTTGTCTTTTATGCAGAAGCATTACCCGCAGTTCAATTTTGAGGACAAGGTTGCCTTGAAAGGGAAGGGTATTGTAACAAATACAAATGTGAGAGACATGAGTGAGAAAAAGTTTGTTAAGAATAAGGGACACGTGGAGGGTGATACGAAAAGTAATGAAGGGAAAAAAAAGCACTAGGCACCGCAAATGGAATGTGCTTTTAAAGGATTTTGTGCATTGAGAAACGTGGCTGTTGGTATTACTCTTCTCTATTAATTCTCCACTCTCTCTGAATTAATTCCCTCTCTCTGTCCATCTTTTCTGAACTCAGATTTTCCCTATGATTATAGGTGAAATTGTTTTGCTGCACAAGGAAGTTATCACCTTAATTGTTAATTGCAATTCTCCTTTGTTTACAAATGACTTTTCATAAATAAAAAGCCTGCGCAATTGATTCTTTTATTGGTTATTATTGCCACTATTTCATTGGTCTTGTTACATTCAATTCTGCTAGGCCAATTTAATTTCTCTGTTTCATATGGTACTCCGCAACACTAGAGAAGAAGTGGTTTTGAAGCTTAAGAAGGGAGATGTTATACCAGTACCTATAGGAAGTGTCTCATGGTGGTTCAACAATGGAGACTCAGATCTCATCATTATTTTCCTTGGAGAAACTTCAAAGGCTCTTATTCCAGCAGAAATAAGTTATTTCTTCCTAACTGGGGTTCAAGGAGTTATAGGAGGCTTCTCTACTGAGCTCACTAGCAAAATATATGGCTTAGACAAAGATGGGGTGGAAAAGCTGTGATCATCAAGCTAGACAAAAGCCAACCTATGCCTAAGCCTCAACTGGACCTGACTAAAAAGCTGGTGTATGATATAGATTCTGCACACCCAGAAAATGTTGTGGAAAATGCTGGATTGGTCAAAACCTTTAACTCATGAGAAAGATTTTGCTTTTGTTAGGGATCTGGGGTTAAGTGTGATTAAAGTGAAACTTGAACCTGGTGCTATTAAGGCTCCCTCATACCAAATCAATCATTCAGTTCAGTTGATTTACATTGCTAAAGGAAGTGGGAAGATTGAATTTGTGGACTTCAGTGGAAAAAGTGTTTTAGACACTCAAGTTGAGGCTGGTCATTTACTTGTTGTGCCACAGTTTTTGTTGACTGCTGCAATTGCAGGAGAAGAAGGATTGGAGAGTGTCTCTATAGTGACAGCAGAGTAAGTTGTTTTGAGATATCTCTATATAATAGCATTAAAAATGGTTGATAATGTTCATTTGAAGGTATGGTCCACTATGAATAATTAATACTAAGAAAATGATATTTTCTGCAGGGCATTGTTTGATGAGTTAGGTGGGAGGGCATCAATTTGGATCATCTTGTCACCTTCTGTGCAACAAGCATCTTTTAAAGTGGATTCAGAATTTCAAAGCCTTTTCATATCCAAGATCAAAGAAACCACAAATCTCATTCCTCCCACTACTTAGTTGCACTTGTTTTTGCATATGTTTATGTATTTTTAGAGCATGATGTTGAGTGTTTACTTGCCCAGATGGTTGCTTTTTAAGAAAAAAGCAAAATCTATTCTCAAATCGACCAGAAATGTTAATTAAAATAAACTGAGTGCGACGACTCATTTGCAATAATTGCATAAAATATTATTAATAGGATAAATTATTGGGCATATTTTAGTGTGAAATCATATTTTATGATATTGCACTGTCTTTTATGGTCCTTTGTCACCTAATATATAATATTTTATTTCAACTTTGTTCTAATGATTCTAAATATTTTAGGATTCACATTAAATTTAATAATTTAATATTGATTTAAAATTTATTTTAAATACGCATGACTAATTAGATTTTACTTATTACAAGATACAAAATAAAAATATTAATACCTGATATTTTAATTAAATAAAAAAAGTAACCTTTAGATTATTAAAAATACAAACATTAGTTCATAAAATCATGGAATTTTTTTTTTTGTCATCATTGTTAAAAACAAATTGAGGCATTGAAGAAAAAGTTTAAAAATTTTGAGATTTTTTAATGGAAAAGAATAAAGTATTTTATGTCATGTAGAGGTGAAATGATGTCAAGGAAAAACAAATAAAGAATTTTGTATTGAAGGAGTTATTTGATAATTTTACAAGAAATAAACTTGTTTATATATATCTCCTTCTATCTTTTGGAAAGAAAAACCAATCTAATATTAGAATTGAAGGAAATCATAAGAAAGAAAATAGTAAGGGTATAAATTATCCATAGGACTTTTGTAATAAAATTTAATTATTCCGTTTAAAAATAAAGTGTGTCAATCTCATTTTTCTAACTATAATAATAAATAAATAATTTCTAAAATATATAATAATTAACGATTTTGTGTCAATTATAATGAAATTTTTAGATTTATTTTTATGTTTAATATATTATCTATTTTAAAATTTTAATCTGTTGTAGTTTTATTTTAAAAATATTAAATTAAAAATAAAATAAAAATATATATATATATATATATATATATATATATATATAATTGAATTTGACTCATATATGATTCACAAACGTATAAACATTAATTATTTTTAAATACTATATAAAAATAATAAGATATAGATATTCAGGATTCTTAACAAACTCATTTGGGTTAATTCTTACTCGAAAAATTATAATTTACTTCTTATTTTAGATTTTGATGTTTATTCTATATTTCATCTTTTATTAAATATTGATCTTGATATTTTCCTAAATGATATATGAATAAAAAATATTAAAAAATTCAAAATAAAAACATAAAACATCGATCGTAGCGACGATTTAATCGACGACAAATTCAAATTCATTATCGTGTTTTCAATCGGTCTTTACTACAATAATAATTATGAAAATATAGAAAAATTCGAAGTAGAAATATAAAGAATAAAAAGTAAAAACTTTAAAATGGAGAAATTAAACCAAGCTTAATAATGAAACCAAATGCAAACACAGAATTAAACCAAGTTATTATCTTAATCAAATGTTTTAATGCATGGTGATTTCAAGAACACGTAACTAGAGTATACATAAACAAATACATCAATAAACACACTTAACATCACATGTATCGAACTAAGTAGTAGGTGCGATAAGATTGCTAGATTCCTTGATCTTTGATATGAAAAGCTTTTGAAAATCAGAATCCACGTTAAGAGCCACTTGTTGCAGTGAAGGTGATAAAATGCTCCAAATTGATCCTTTTCCAGCCAACTCTTCAAACAAAGGTCTGCAAAAAGGACAGTGAACATGTTTTTTGTCAGTATTAATGGTGTGTCATACTTGGAAGTAATATTCCATTAGAATCATATTCAAACAACTTACTTTGTAGTTGTTACAGTGGAGTAACTCTCCAATCCTTCTTCACCAGCAATTTCAGCAACCACGAAGAATTGTGGAACCACAAGCAAATGACCAGACTCAACTTGAGTGTCTAACACACTCTTTCCATTGGAGTCCACAATTTCAATCTTCCCACTTCCTCTAGCAATGTAAATCAGCTGAACAGTAGGAGTCACTGGGTACGATGGAGCCTTGATAGCAAAAGGTTCAAGCTTTACCTTGATCAAGGTTAACCCAACATCCTTAATGAGAGAAAAATCTTTCTCTGTTAAAGTTTTGACCAATCCAGCGTTTTCCACAGCATTTTCTGGGTGTGCAGCATCTATATTATACACCAGCTTTTTGGTATTGTGCAGTTGGGGCTTAGGTAGTGTTTGAGTTTTGTCTAGTTTGATGATCAAAACCCCAGTTTGGCTTTTTGTGAGCTTTTCCACCTCATCTTTGTCTAAGCCATAGACCTTGCTGGTGAGATCGGTGGAGAAGCCTCCTATAATGCCTATGGCCCCAGTCAGAAAGAAATACGTGAATTGGCCAGGAATAAGAGCCTTTGAAGTTTCTCCAAGAAAAACAATGATGAGATCTGTGTCTCCATCGTTGAACCACCACGAGACAGCACCAATAGGCACTGGTATAACGTCTCCTTGGTTAAGTTTCAAAACCACCTCTTCATCAGTGTTGGGAAGAACCATTCCAACTACTCCATCAACCCCTACACATGTGCCATAAACCATTGACTTTTGTACCAACTATTTCAAAAATGATTTTTAATATATAAGAATATAAATTTGTATACATGTAGAAAATATACATGGAAGACTCAGACCTTGAATGACATAACCAACTTTGGATGAATCTGCATAATGAGGAAGAGCGAAACCACGAGGCTGAAGCACAAGGCGACCTGCACCTACATTTTTCTGTGCCAAAAGCGGCACTTGAGAACTTGACCAAGTGTAGTAACCTCCACCATCTCCCTCAAACAATGCTTCTGCTGTCTTCGGTGTTAAGTCTAACTCCATAGTTTTAATTTTCCCTTAACTCACGAAAAAGCATTTCAAATAACCAAATCAGTTCAAAGTATTTCAAAGGTTTTTTCTAGAGACGTAAAAGACTTGGACATTTGGTATTCGTTGTCGCATTTTTCTGGCAACTGTATTTACTCCTCCTACCACGCGTATCACATGTGCTGGCTTCGTCAGTTAGTACAATAAGGAAAGTGAATTCTTGTACGTAATATAACACCTCAAACTTGTACCTATTTTCTATACTTTCAGCATCAACCACATCTATCTAAAATTATAATTTTGGTACGAGTAACGTGTTTTTATTGAGTTGAACTAGAAATTTCTTGGATAAGTAAACAACCCTCGTAATATATCTGAGATCTATAATTAATGAAAATATTAAAAGAGAAACTCTTACACTGTTCAACTATTTAGTAGTAAGATGTGTCCTTACCTTTGTTACTGAGGAGAAAATATATAAAAAGGAACGAGTTTTCCAATCTGAAGATAACTAATCAAAGACATGAATGAATGCTATATATATATATATATATATATATATATGACCAAAAACCCAATAACATGAAATTATTGCCCAAATGAAACTGTTGACCTAATTATTTCAACTTAGCAACGATTGCGTTTAATAATATTAAAGAATATTATCTACAATAACGTCATTACTTAATCCCATCCGTTTTTATTAATATAATAATGAGAAAAGATTTAATAAAAATAAAAATAATTTTAAATTAATATTATAACATTATAATCAGTTGTATATTGGAATCGGTCTGAAAATATTTTTTTCCCTTAAAAAATCATTTTTTTCGTTTTAAAAAGTTTTCTTGTATTTATTCTCTTTTAAAAAATTTATAATAAATCCAGTTTTAGTCTTCTAATTTATAATAACAACCATTTTGAGTGTTTTAGTCCTAATTTTTCTTTTAATGTGAAATTATGGTTTTGATCTACGTGGTTAGATTTAAATCTTATTAATTAGTTAAGCAAAATTGTTAGATTTAAATAAATATATACCTTTATAATGTTTAGAGTTCATTATTTCATTCGTGCAATGATATTATAATAATTCATATGACACATCTATATATTTTTTATATATATAATCCTATGATTTTTTTTCTTTACATTATATATCACAGTATATTTATTATTTTCTCTTTTATTTTTTCATTTTTCATACATTTGTTATGATCCTATATAAATAAATGGTCACCAAACTTTGAATTGTATATGTCCTCTATCGACGTACTATAGTTGAAAATGTAGATAAAAATATTAAAGGTATTGGACATATAAAATATTTAAAAAGTAAAATCATGATGTTTTCGAATCTTACTATCATCATTAGATCTTAACTAATTCACACATCCTTCAAAAGATTTTGCTTGCTGCTAAACAAAATCTTAGGTCTCTGTCAATAGATTTGATTATTTTTTAAAATAGATTTGATTATTTTTTAAAATAGATTTCAACTTTTGAAATTAACACCAGAGAGACATTTAAAAAAAAAATAGAAAATGACACACATGTACCACAAATATTCATAATTATAAAATTAAATATAATGAAATTAATTTTATTATAATTAATAATAAATTAGGTCAATTCATTCATTCTCGTAAAAATAAATCAAAGTGAATTTTCAAATTTAATTTATCCTGTTAAATAATAGACTAACTTGTTTTATATATAAATTTTTAAAAAATATATTTTTAATTATATGAATATTTTTATATTTTATTTATTAATTGATATTTTTATTAGATAAATTAAAAAATTATAATATTTATATATTAAAATACTTAATTATAATTAATAATTTAATGATTAATATTTATGATTTAAATTATAATATTGTACTATATTTATATATTTTAATATAATAATATAAAAATATAATATTTTTAATCATAATTTTATTTATTTTAATTTTAATATATAAATATTTTTTAAAAATAAATAAGTAATTAATCATTTTCACTTTTAACCAGTCGAATTAACTAGTTAAAAAAAAGAACCAAAATAAATTAAATAACTGAAATTAATAATTTTATGATGAGTTAACCTATTGAACTCAACTCACGTCATTATCACAGTTGTAAATCTATATCTAACCTACCGGGACCGTAGTGACGTGAATAAGGACCTAATCACGGATTAGAAAGAAAATAAATAAAAATAATAGAAATTAAAAGAATTGAGAAAGTAGATAGAGGAAATATGTAATTTAATTAATTAGGGATATATATAAAATATAATTTAATTGTCATTATAATTAACATAGATTAATTTTTAAAGAAATTATTCTCCAAAATATTTTCAAAATAATAACAATTTAATTTATCTAATAATATCTATCACACATTTTCAATCAAAGCAAAAAATTGAGAAACACTTAAACCTGTTTTAAAAATCATAAAACAAGGGAAAAGTCTTTAGTAAAAATATAAGTAATTTGATACGAAATTTGAAGGACACGAATTTTATCATGGACAACTTTTATACAAAGTGTATGTCCACTTCAATATGTTTTTGTGCATTAATGTTGTATAGGATTACCCGACAGGTAAATGACACTCACATTATCACATTACACTAATGTAGTTTTTTAAATTAGACAATGAAGCTCCAAAAAAAGGTTTTGAATCTAACAATATTCAAAAACAACATTAGTTACTCCTCTACATTTAGTCTTGTTTAGAAGACAAAGAAATCAAGTTATCATCGAGAAAAATACAATACCTAAATGTAGACCGTCCAGTATCCGGACATCCACCCCAATCTGATTTGTGTAAGAGAGAAGGTTTCCAATATTGCATTTGTACAAATGCAAGTTAAAATTAAGAGTGAATATAACATAAAATACTCTTGAGAACATACATGTGTTCTTTCTTGGAATTATGTATATAAAGACATATTTATTGTACCGCATAAGAAATGTCAAGCCTTGTAAAAGTGACATATTACAATGTTTCAACAGTACGTTTATACTTAGTAGGATCCTCGTATGGAACTTCATTACAAACACTAAGTTTGAGCTTTGTGTCAACTGGTATGGGACAAGTTTGGGCTTCAATCGATAACATGTTGTAGCAAAACTTAACAAGTCATTTTTTTTTTTTTTGCATAACTGTGACAAAACCAGCATATGCTTCGGTTAAGCCAGGGAGTAAACGGAACACTAAATGTTGATCTAAAATAGGAGCCCCAACATTGGATAATTGGTTAGCAATAGATTTGAGTCGGTTGCAATATGCGGAGGTTGTGGAGAAATTTTCTAAGTTTGTGTTCGTAAACTGAGTTTCAAGGTATCATGTCCTAGTATTTTTGTTATCTTGAAATAAGTCATTTATATGCTGTCAAGCTTTAGCAACCAAATCATCAGCCACTAAGATCGATATGAGAATACCAGGAGATACAATAACATAAATTCATTGGAGAATAACAACGTCAAGGCAACTTCATAGAGAAGATCAATGACCTTAACTATTTGGTACGTTGTTATGTATTAATTTCCGTGAGAGGGATGATATGTTTAAGTACAAAATGAATTTTAACTTAACCTTAAATAAGGTTGTCCATGAGTGATGTTGGATGGTTTCCATATCTAAAGTGATTGGAATAAAATATTTCATATTGGTGACCGTTAGGACAAAGTGAATTTTGGAATTGTTAGTCATAGATGGACAACTACGAAAAAAAAAAAAGAAAAAATGTTTCAAATAAACAGTGACAATTAATTTTTTTATAAAGGAAGGAAAATAACTTAATCTAGTACCACATAGAAAATCATCTATCATTTACTTCTCTATTAATTAGTGATATATATAATATAAAAACTATAATTTAGGTTGTCATTATAACTGACAAACAATAATTTAGACTAAATTTTAAATAATTATTACTTCATAATATTCTCAAAATAATAACAATTTATTTTATTTAATAATATTTATCAATAAAAAATATAAAAATATGTTATTTTAAATATTAATTAAAATATATTAAATTTCATTTGTTCATACCACTTTAGAAAATAATTTTTATTTATTAAATTCTTCCACTTTTTTTATTACGTGATTTATCCATCACTTAATTATCCTCTATTCTAAATAACATTATGATTTGAAATTATATGTTTATAATTATGTGTGTTTGGATTGATAATTAAATTTAAGTAAAAATAAATAAATTTATTTAAATTTAAAAAGATAATAATAAACTAATAAAATTAATTAAAAATAATAAAATAATAAATTATTAAAATATTTTTATTATAAAATATAATTATAATATAAAATTATATATTTATTTATATTATAAAATTATTATAATCTCAAATCTTAAATAATGTTAAATCAATTCATTAAATCACATCAAAAGTCTTGATGTACAAGGATAAAAAAATGACATGCAAACTATGACTCAGAATGACATGTGAATTGATTGTGAGAGATGAGATGTATTAGCTAAACCCTCGCTTTTTTGCCTCCTAATTCTCGTTTTCAATTTTTTTTTTTAATCGTGGTAACTTATATTTTGATTTAGAAATTAAATCTTCATTTTAGATTTTAGATTTATGTTTTATTTTATATTATTTTCTAAAAATAATTATATTTATAATAAATTAATTTTAATATTTTAATTATTATTATTAATTAAATATAATTTTATTTTATTATATTTATATTAAAATATATGTTAAATAAATATTTAATTAATTTTTTATATAAATATGTTTATAATAATAATATTATTATTATATTTAAATATTTGATTATATATAAATTAAATTTTTTAATTATTATTTAAAAATATGAAATATATATTTTATAAAAAAATATTTAATAAATTAAATTTTTATTTTTTAATTAATTTAAAGTAATCAAAATTTAAATTTATAATTTATAATTTTTTAAAATATAATAATATGATTAAGAAAAAATTTAATATATAATAAATATGAATAAAAAGATAAAAAAATATAATAT